CCATGCGGGATGAATAAAACTCATTATAAAATAAAAATCTAGTCACCGAGATCATTATTGTGAGGGCGTAGTTCAACTCTCGTTGGTCACATACTCATACGTTGGATATATGGTATTTATTATTCAGAATATTTACATATTTACCTTAGTTTCAGTCAATATTCAGTTTGCAATGTGAACCAAAACATACAATAATTTTGCAATGATGTTGTTGGATACTCGATACTGTAGACCAAATCGGATTATGATATATCAAATTTAAAATAAAAAAAATGTTACATTTCCATGATACACAACAGTATTCATTTGGTAATAAATCAACCAACTAATACGCATGTGCAGTGATTATTATTGTACGTACCAGAAAAAAGAACTTTGCACATGCGTATTTGAGAATTTCATTTACGGAATAGTTTGTGATAAATCGTAATATAGTGCATTCATCCACATATTGTGTCAAACAACATTACCAACAATTGCATGTTCTCCAATCTGATTAAAATAAGATCCTAGTTTTGGTTTTTTTGTATATTTATTTTATTTTATTTTGAAATCAAAATCAAAGTAATGTAAAATAAAAAGGCATTAATAACAAAAGTAATAAAAAATAAAATTAAAATAAATTTATAGCCAAAATTATTAAAGCCCGTACACTACATCAGATTTTAATCAGAATGCATGTTCTCGTCCATATTGCATTTTTAACGAACCTCGGCTGTGCCTCGATGAATAATTTCCTCTTCGGGTCATTAAAACTGAATACTGACCTCGACTTGAGTAACTATTTGTTTATTGCATTAAAAATCTATAATCATATAATCGCGCATTCGACCCATATGTATATGGAATAGGTATATCAGCAATGATCGAATGACACAAATAATTTAATGGCGACGCCAGCAACGATGCTAAAAATACACTTCAGAAATATTACGTAAATTGATCACTAAATATCAACTCAGTGACAGAATACTTCGATCCTATGTAGCGCCCTCTAACAACAGATCTTTTCGGTGATCAGTTAAACCGCTAGATGGCGCGAGA